GAAAAAAATTTAGACCAATCATACAAAAAGGGATAATTTCAAACCTCAAAATTGTAAATTTCGGACAAAAATAATTTCATTTCTCACCTTATATTTTCCACCGTATTTTATTATTTTTGTCCTTTAATTTATTCACAAATTTTTTTAATTGTACTTTAATATTTTCACAATGTTTATAAAGTGTACCTTAATATTTTCACATTGTTTTTGTAAATTGTATTTAAATTTGTAGATAAATTGTTAAATTATTATGATGTTTAATTACTTTTAGGGTTTTAAGAAAAAAGTTAAGGATTATAAGATAAGATTGATGCATAGTTAAGGATTATAAGATACAATTTTTTCAAAGTTAAGAGATGAGAGATAAAAGTTATGCATAGTTAAGCAATGCAATATGCAGGTTTTGGGGGTAAACATGTAAAGTTAAGCGATAGAAGACACAGTTGAATAAAAGTTAAGGATGTGAAGAAACAATTGAATAAAAGTTAAGGATTAAAAGATAAAAATGATACAAAGTCAAGATAAAAACACATGTATTCAGCAAAATGGTGAAAAATATATACATTTTTCACGATTTCCCTTATTGGTGGGTGTGATGATGACATACTGATTGGATGGATGAGATGATTGGATGGATGACACACTTACAGTATACAACTTTTTGATGTATACAGTACACCCTATTGGAAAGTTTACACGGTTTACCTTTAACAGAAAAACTTATTTCACCGAAAAACTCTTTATTTATAAATGCAGTTTACTTAGAATACAAGCAATTCATAATTTGATAAAATACATTATCCAAAATGTTAATGTTTTCAATAATATTAATAACTTTTCCGTCATTACTGGCAGGTAGTGTTGACGATAAACCGTGGAAGGGAGAAGAATCAGTGACTACATTATATCGGAGGACACCACTACCAATTTGGCGGAGAACACCGCCCCCACTATTTCCTAACAGAGAAAAAAATAATTCAGTGGAAATACCAATATGGAGGAGAACACCACCACCAATGTTTCCTAGCAGTGATAAAAAAAGTTCAGTGGAAATACCAATATGGCGGAGGACACCACCACCAATGTTTCCTAACAGTGATAAAAATAATTCAGTGGAAATACCAATATGGCGGAGAACACCACCACCAATAATACCTAGCAGAGATATAAATGACTCAGAAAAGATTCAACGAGGTGATAAAATAGGCAATAAATCATTGAATAAAGCTGATGTTGGGGAAAGATTATTTAGGAAATGGGTTGTAAAGGACATCTATCATCTGAACAAAACAGATTTGGCAAGAAAACGTGAAATAAAAAATATGGGGCGTTGGATTCTACGTTGGGATCTTTGGGACGAGAAGTTCAAATCTGGAAAACATAATCGAACAGATTACTTGATGTATTCAAGATGGCGATTTTTATACGAACCTCCTATTTCAAACATTATCGATTTTTTCAAAAATTTATAAAATTATTTTTTAATGTTTAACATTTTTATGTAAAATTATTTAATAAACAAGTACTAAAAATAAAATCTTCGTATAAATTAATCACAAAATATCAAAACATTGCGTTTTTCCCATTGGCTCGGTTTACCTTCTATTTCAATCCACAATATCCCTGGTCTAGATTTTTTCTTAATAGGTGTAGGTGGAAAACTTCCAAGGGATAATGGAATACTGTTGAGAGTAAGTGTTGATGATGACGAAGTTGCTTGTGTACGTCGAGCCCCAAATTCTGAACTACTTATAGGTGACGGAGGCGAGGTGGGGGCAAAGCATAAAAGTTCTAGAGGGTAGTATCTCTCACATATTCCATTCTTTGTGCATGTTCTTTCTATAACACATTGATGAAACGGGTATTGTAGTTTTATTTTGTGGTGAGAAAAGAAATATGCCGCAACCGATATGTTGAATGGGTAAGCTAAGTCACCGAAGGCTTTGACAAAATGTGCTCCTGAAGTTGTAATTCCGTCACATCTAACTCTGCTATATAATCCTCGCCTATCAGGATAATTTGTCTCTAACTTTCCTTTTTCATTTATAAATTTTGCGATCAAATCGGCATTTTCCTGATACATTAATCTGTATCTCACCAAATAAATTGGGCAATTCAATTTTTTAGAAATCTCATCCAAAATAGAGGTCATTTTATTGATTAATTTAGAATGATTGATGAATGACTTGATAAATTGTTAAGTTGAACGAAAATTTCGCCTTTTATACCCAAGGATTTGACCTTGAAAACTGACAGATATTTCGAAATATAAGGAAAGGGTGGAGCTTAGGAGGAGTATATAAGGCGAAGGATTTTCAACTTTTCATTCATTTCTTCATTCATTAAAAATACTATTTTAAATAAATAAAAATGAGCGGATTAAAAAAAGAAAAGATCCCAAAAATGGAATTAGTTAATGAACCAAAAATTGAGAAGGAAGAAGAGATAATTAAATTGGAAGAGGAAAAAGAAAAAGAAAAGGCAAACAAACCAAAAGCCTCTGCTTCAAAAGTTGAGAATGGGAAAATTGAGAAAAGTAACAGTATAAATCCGCGTTTCCTGTGGAAACTTGTGCGCATAAGAGAAACACCTAGGATTGAAATTAAACTTTGCAAAAAATGTGCCAATGCGCTCTACAATGATAAAAATAAATTCACTCAGAAGGAAAATGGAAACATCGGAATCTGCTTTGAAATATGCGAAACCTGCGCGAAGCTAAATATGCAGCTCAAGGATTTTGTTGCTGATTGGGATGAAAAGAATATACAGAAATTGAAAAAGTGATTAATGATTAATGTTTTCTGTTAACTTTGTTATTTATTTTTGATTTCATTAATTGTAACATTTTAATTTAAATAAATATTTTTGAATTGTATTATTTTTCATTAACTTCTGAAAAAATTAATCACATTCTCGGAGGCCACGCCCATTGTCAGAGTATAAATACTGAAAAATTCTCCCCAAGATCAAACTTCCGCCAAAAATTTGAATTCATTTATAAAATTTCTTGAAAAATGTCAGTAATCGAAAATAATTGCCAGCTCTTGGAAAAAGTGCTCCCTGAGGTGTTATTTACGGTATCTTCTACTGGTGTGACAATTTCGTCACCACGCCTCATAACCACACGTTTTGTGGAATTTGACATGGCAGGAAAATGTAAAAGTTGCAGAGGGGAAAATGTGGACATTGATTTTATTGTTACTCCAAAGGACGTAACCTTATATTGCAACCGCCTAAAATCAGAAAAAGTAGTAATGTTTGATCATATTTATGAAATTCCTCAACAATGTATCTTTCGTGTACGGTCGAAAGGGAAGAATTTCAATATTTTACACAAAGAGCAAGTCTGGAATGAAAAACAGTTCATCACCGGTAATGAGCAAATAAGTGTCAAGGAATTTTTGTCAAAGTTTACACAGAAGAAGGCTCAAGTAGTGAACGAAGAAACGAAAGAAAATATAAAGGAAGACGATAAAGAAAAAGTAATAAACGATAATTCAATTACCCCTCATAATCATTAATCATTCTTATTTATATTTTTAATTTTCAACAAATAATTTAAACATGAATTATCATTTATTTTCTAATAAAGATTTAAAACTAAAACTTCCATTTGGTTGTATTATTAGCGGCCCAAGTTCAACTGGCAAAAGTACACTTGTACGAAAATTAATTTCAAATTCTGATAAACTTATCGACCCTACCCCAAAATCTATTCTTTACTGCTATGGTGAATATAACCCACTTGTTCCAAAACTACAGCGAGCCGGAGTCTCAGTTTACTCTGGTGTCCCCCCTGAGGATCTTATTAAGAAGCAGCAACAACCCTCTCTAGTCATCCTCGATGACCTAATGTACTCAATTGACGAAAAATATTTATCGGAACTTTTCACAAAGAAATCTCATCATCTTAATTTTGGCATAATATTCATCACACAGAATCTCTTCGAGAAAAAACTCAGGGTCGCACGTCAAAATTCTATGTATATTGTATTAACCCGCGCACCAAATAGTGCATTGGCCGTTCGAAATCTAGGAGTACAACTATTCCCAGGAAGATTAAATTATTTTCTAGACGCATATCGACAAGCTACAAGCAGCAGTAATTATTCTTACCTATTTATCGATTTACACCCCTCATCAGACCCAACACTTAGACTAAGAACAAATATATTCTCAGACAAAGAATCAGAAGACTCCTACAATTCATTACCAATTATATTTTTACCCAAGAATTCCTCTAATTAAAAATGATGTCAACGAAAATTAGCCAAGTTGTCAAGGACAACCTACAGTTTCTCAAACAGCTCGCAAAAACACGCTCACTAACTAAAAGAAGACGTTTTTTAAGAAAAGCATCAATCGACCAATTACTTTCTCTCACTGAAATTTGCTACAATATTGTACGTGATCAATTTAAATTAACTAAGAGACAAAAATCTCGTCTTCTACCATTCGCTGATTTTGTTCGTAAAGTGAGTAGGATAAAAACAGAAGGAGGAGCCCGACGTACAGTAATACAACAAGGAAGTGGTTTACCAATAGGATTGTTTCCCGCCCTTTTAACCCCAATCATTATTGAATTAACAAAAACTTTAACAAGCAATTAATAGAAATGGCAAATAAATTTATATTAATTCCTGAGGATATATATCGTGGACTACTTACTCACCCCATACCGGAAACTGGAAATATCAACTTGGATTTCACACGCGAAAATTTGGAAAATATCAAAAGTCAAAATGCCAACACAGAATTAAAGAATATAAATTATAATCAGGAATTGAGACGTTATCTACACATGTTGAAGGATCAGAATGAGAGACCAATGAATGTTTCAGTAAGGCAAATGGAAGATCCAGCCCTGGAGCAAATTAAAAAATTGCTTCCCCTACTCCAATCAACCTCCAAAGAAAGTAATCAACAAGTCCTTAAACAAAATATACCCACACCAAAATTGTCCCCGTTAAATGAAGGTGGAGATTTAAACGAAGATGAACTTAGTATGCATACGGCCGATGAGGAATCTCCGGATTCCAAGAGGAAAATGGAACCAAAGAAGTCAACAATAAGAGAAAAAACAGAGGAAATTTTTGAAAATATGAAACAGGAAAATCTAGATAAATATGATGTGAGCACAGATGGAAAGATTTTAAGTAAGAAGGGAGGAAAAGAAATACAGGGAAGCAATGCACAAAAATCTCTAGAGTGTATTCTCCGTACAGGAATAAGTGGGAAATTGAGATGGGGAGAGTTGACACCACCGGGGACATCAGTTTTAGAAAGTAAATTAAAAAGTGATAACAAAATTTGGCCGTTGATAGAGAAGGCACGAGAAACCTGTACACCAAAAAGAACTAATACAAAGCAAAAAAGAAAAATACCTGAATCCAAAGAAATAGCTGAATCAAAATGGAGAGCCCCAACAGAGTGGAAATGATATTAGATAAACTTTACAATGATCCAGCGAATCCGGCAGGATTTGCTGGTGTAAACCAGTTATGGACAGAGGCTAGAAAAAAAGATGCAAGTATTAAGAAGAAGGAAGTTGAGGAATATTTGTCAGGCCACAGAACTTACACAATTCACCGCCCTAGGCGCGTGCACTTCAAAAGATCAATAACAAATCCGTCTGGTTATATGACAGACGTTCAGTGCGACTTGGCAGATTTCCAAAAATTATCACGGCAAAACAACGGGAAAAATTATGCGCTTGTGGCAATCGATGTGTTAAGCAAAAGAGTTTTCGCTGAACCTGTTCGCACTAAAAAGTCAAATGATATGATTGATGCATTTGAAAAAATTTTGGCAAGAATGGAAATGCACCCGCACCGTATTTTTAGTGATAAGGGAACTGAATTTTGCAGCAAGGAAATTATTGCATTTTTCAGAGAAAAAGATATTGAAAAATACACGGCAACCTTTTCATCAGTTAAAGCGTCACTAGCTGAACGATGTATTCGAAACATTAAACAGAGACTGTACAGATTTATGAGTGAGAAGCATACATTAAAATGGACTGAGGCATTACCGAAAATAGTTGACGCAATAAATCATTCAAAGTGTAGGATTTTAGGTGGATTAAGACCGGTTGATGTAAACTTTAACAATGCAAAGGAAATTAGAGAAATGGTATTTGGTCCTATTGGGAAGAATAAACCTAGAAAAAACCCACGATTTAAGGAAAATGATCATGTACGTATGAGCAGAAACAAAAATATTTTTTCAAAGGGTTATCTCCCAAATTATAGCGATGAAATTCTTCAAATAGACCTTGTCAAAAAGAAGGCTAACCCCAACAGATACCGTGTCCGTGACGATAATGGGGAGGTATTTAAAGGATATTTCTACCCTGAGGAATTAACCCGAGTGAGGAAGGATGAGAATACCAGCTACAGAATTGAGAAAATTATTAAGAGCAGAATGAAAGAAGATGGAGGAAAAGAATTTTTTGTTAAATTTTTTGATTACCCCCAACCCCAGTGGATAGACGAAAACCAGTTTGTATAAAAGCCCAATTTTTCATTCCCATAAATCATTTTTAATTATTTTTTCACTTTAATTGTTCAATTTATTATTATCTTTAAAATAAATAATGGCTAATACATTCTTTGTTGTTCTTCCTAGTAATGTTAGTGATTACCCAGATAATAAACCCAATAAATATCGAGTGCATCTTCCGAAACCAATAGAGTTTCAAGGTGGAAACTGGGTATGTGGCCTCTACAGTATCCAATACCCCCAATCATGGGCTGCAACTATTGGCACAGACGTTAAACAATGGATCGAAATTAATTACAAAAACAAGAAACCGCATAGAATTGGAATCCCCAAAACAACTCAGCTAACACCCAACGGACTCAGCTTCTTTTTAAAACTTGTATTATCCAATAAAGAGAAACCTAGGAAAAGACGCGATGTATCAATTGATACTTTGGAGGATGAAGTTATCATTGACCCAGAAATTAATTTAGTAGTGGATCCAGCTAAGAAACGAAGAAAGAGAGAGGCAGATAAAGTAGATACTGTGCCATTATGGGTAAAGGAATTTTTTAATCAGTATCCACACAATTACTGGGAAGCCATACGCGATTATGAACAAGAATTAGAACAACATAAATCTGATGTGGAGGAAAAAACAAAACAGGTTCTTAATGAGAAGGATGATACACATAAGGGAGAATTACAGCAAGAACTTGATCACCTACATTCCCTTTCAGAAGGTAAAAAGAAGGAAATTCGTCTCTTAACAGAGGAAGCTAATAAGAGGGATAGGCGTGATGATGGACTAATAGCAAACCAGTTTTTGGAACAACACCCAGATGATTATCACGAGGAAGTAATAAAGATGGAAATAAATATAATAGTAAGATACATTGAACTAGAAGACAAAATTAGAGAAAGCAGGGAAGAGGGGGTTAAGAATGCTCGTTCTGGTGATGAGATTCAGAGGTTTATTAATTCAATAAAACGTATGCGTAAGAATTTGGAAGCGTTGGAATCTGCTATTATTGAAAGAGACTTGCAAATTAATAGAGATGAGTTTCATCAGCAAAATTCAAACACACACTCAGAATTTGTCCAGAAATTTTTCGAGGACCACCCTGTAGATCAATGGACAGCGTTAAAGAAAAATTTAGGTGATCTACAGGAATTACATAGACAAATTCGAGAAAAACGAGATGTCCATTCACAAGAACAAAATGAGGAAGAAAAGAATAAGCTGGGGAAGGAAATTGATCAATTAAATAAATTGGCTTCCTACAGACGAAATAGATTTACAGCAATACACCATGCGGCTTACAAGAAATGGAAAAATTTTGAGCTGCCAATTCCCCCAACTAGAAATGAAATTAAGGAGATGCAAAAAATTGAAGAGAGAACTCATCCGGAATATTTGGAAGATGCCCAAAAGACTGATGATCAAGGTAAACCTGTGCACATTCCTGCGCCCGTAATTACAGATGAAATGGTGGAAGTTGTCAAGGACAGACATGGGTATGAGCAGGATAAGGTCAGAGAGGCAGAGGAAAATGAAAGAAAAGATAAAGAACTGAAAGAAAGCAAGGAACAATTAAAGCATGCAAGAAGAATAGATAAATATGGAGAGTCTATACCTCTTGAGCAACCAATAGATGAAGAGCAAGATACAGTACCTGATGAGGAAAGTTTCGGATAAGAAGAAGAAAGGTGGGAGGAGAAAGGTAGGGAAAGCCCTGTTTTAGATTTGGATTCCTCAGAAGAGATTATACCAACAGAAGAAATATTTGAGGAGCAAAAGGATGAGCAAAGAAACGATGATCTGATAAATGAGAAGACAGTTACTTTGATTGAGGAAAAGGAATCTCAGGCAAAAATTTGCATTCTGACATTGAATTTGAATATTTGGACAGTATTGATCGTTTTCGGGTAATTTTTAATGATCCTGAGATTCGAAATATTGTTATCTCTTCACAACTATGTTATGTTCTCGGCTTCCCCATGGGACCATTGGTAAATGGCCAAATTGGAAAATATGGAATTGATCTCAAAGGAGGGTTTACAAGCTTTGCTGTATATTCAAAGGGGTTAACGAGCACTGTAATAATGGGGAATTCTGTCAGTTCATTACTCAGAATTGTGGCTGTTGAGAATAGGTCTGGAGGTGTTGTAGAAAGAGTGTATGATCAACCAATGTTCATACCTGTGTTACCCAGAGAGATTAACGAGATTGAAATTGAACTAAGATGGATGAACGGAAGTCTTGTTAAATTTGATCATGGAACTGTAATTATTACCCTAATGTTTAATAGAATGTTAAGATTTTAATTTAAAACTTTTTTGAAATTGTCAAATTTTATTATATATTTTTTATCATTTTGATAATAAAGGAAAAAACAAATTCGTCTGGGTTTGAATGATTTAATAATAGGGAAAGGAATTTTTTATAAGAATATCCTGAGGAAATAAAATAAATAAAGGTGATACAATGGTGTCCACAAGTGGGTAAAAGAGGGTTTTGAACGGGAACATTATTCATTACACGGTTTGGAAATTTGGAAATAAAATTTTTTATTGAAATTGGAGGTTCGGGGAGTAGTAATGAATCAAAAATTAATATTTTCTCGGGGTTAATTATAAAAAGTGCAATCCAATGTGATCCTCTTTGAGTAGCTTTTTCAAGGTTGACGACCAATGAGCACGGGTATTCTCGAAATTCTTGTGGAATTTTATCTGCGGCAAAGCATCCAATAAAATGTCTTCTAGTTATTCTGTTGTGAAATAAGATTTTGTCGATTTGTAAAGTGTCCATTTTCGTCAAAGAGGTGGAGGTTTGAATCTTTTCTTTGAATCTCCCCAAGTTCAATGTCTTTGCTGTTGTCTTTAATCTTTATAAATTTTCTCAGTTGATAGGTCAATGCTGTTGCTAGCAATAAAAGCCAGAGTGCAATTAATGTATAGCAGTAAATAGTTTGAGCAATTGATGTTTCTGATGAAGGAAATTCTTTGCAAGGAGAGGGAAATTGAACATTTTCAACGTGTTCCATTGACCAGAAATCCAAGATTGTAATATTTTTCTCAGGGTTATAGTTAGATGCTAGTCCAATACTATTTTGTACTCTTTGTGGAATTATTGGGAATTTTGTCGAAGACGAATTAATCATTTGTTCTGGTTTAGGAGTTATTGTATTAGCGTAATAACCTATACGTTCTCTTAATTTTTCTCTATATTCTGGGTGTTCATCCTCATTAGACATAGAATATTGTTGTGTAAATTTATACAGGAAGAAAAATAAAATAATACAAACAAAGCAAAATTCAATTTTTATAGTAATGTGACACATTTTTAAAATGAAATGGGAGAATGAAAAAATAAGGAAAATTGAGGGTTTTTATACTGAAATATCGGTGGAAATAGTTCTGTTCCTATCTAACATTAGCAGCGAATCGATTTCACCCATGGCTACTAGTACAATCCCACCACTAGGAACCGGTTCGTTGAAGGTCATCCGTATACTTGTTGTACCATTCTTTATTAAATCAAACATCTCTGGGCCATTATCTTCCTGGCTATTTGTAAGGTTAAATACGAAGAAGCAATATCCTGCATATGCATAACGAAACATTGATATACCGTTACTTTCTAGTGATCCCGCGTACCCTATTGCTTCTTGCATGTCATGATAAATTCTAGCATAGTTTCCTTTAGGAAAATCAAGGGAATAAGGGGCTGCTGGAAAAGTTACTCCTCCAGCAGTAATGGAAATATCTCTCAAATTAAAGTGTTGAAAATAAAATGGAGTTGTTTTTTGTCGCCCTACAAAATCTTTATTATCAACCATTCCCAGTATGATTCTTCGAGGCACCTGATCCATCCATAGGTTAGCATTAAATTCTGTTCTATTTTCACTGATGAATAAAGATTTCAGAGATGTTTTTCTTATCGGGTATCTCGCGGGTTTTATTTCAAGTTTTTTCGCAATATCAAAGGCTAAGCTGTCCATCAATTCAATCTTCTTTACATATAATTTGCAAGCCAAAATTTCTAGATGATATTTTGGGGCAGTGTCCCAGGGAGCACTAAGCAGGAAACTTGATTCATTGGGCAAAAGTTCAATATCAACTTCGCATTGGTTTACTAAATATCTTGGTTGATTACAAATATCAACATCCAGTTTGGCCATAAATTGTGCAGTACGCGGATTTCCATCTTCGTCTAAGAATAATCTTTTCCTTGATTTAACTCCATATCCATTAGAATCAATTCCTGGGTATGTTTGAGTGGGTCCATCATCATAATATCCCGCCACAGAAAGATAAGAGTTCTTCACACTTTGTGGGTAGGTTAGTTCGTAGTCAAAAATACTTTTGAATGCCACGAGGGAGTTCCCTTCAAAAACCTGAGTTCCATTAATATGCATACGGCAATTTTTCCAAAGTGTGTGGCCTATAAGTTGCACTGCCGATACATTATCATCCTTTCCTATATCAACAAGTTTCCCATCTTTGTCCTCTTTTTTAATCCTAAGTTCAGTAAAAACATAAGTTTTGGCCAGATCAATATAATTTGTAGTCGCATGAATTTTGAAATGAAAGGGGGTGATATTTACAGGGTTGAGTGTGAGTAATTCAATAAATGAGGAATTGCTAATACTGACATTTGTGTGGGGGGTTTCGAAAAATGATAAAGCAGTTGTTATTGCGTTGCCAGAATCGCGATCAATTTTCTGATGAGTAGACATTTTTATTTAATAAAGACCGAATGTATCTATTTTTTGACGTTTCTTTTTAGGGGTAAGAGATGGAGGTCTTCCAATTATGAGTTGATGACTATTTTCTTTTGAAAATGATGAATGGGGTTTACGTTTTCTTTTGAGTCCTTTTATACTAGCTCTGGCTCGCAATCCGGTTCCAAATTGTTTTGGCAATCCTCCTTTCTCGAGTAATCTGTGCAACCCACGTTTTCCTTCACTTATTACTGTCTGCTTAAAATTTGGGTTAGAATCTTCTTTGCCGTACTCTGGATTCCCCACACTTTCTAGAATTCTTCCACCTGTATCCAATGCCTCCTTTGCTACAGCTGTACCCGCACGTTTTGCATACGGTAGAAGAAAACGCCAAAAATTTCTGAGTACATCTCCGACTCCGCCACCCGCTTGTCTCCCGTATCCACGTTGATAAGGATTTAGTCCACGAAAATAGTAATAGTTTTCATCTGCGCCTTGTCCTACTTGGCTGATAGATATATGATGGTCGTCGTAACCGATTGTCCTTGGGTCAAAGGCTATATGAACCATGTTTGGTTTTGTTTGGAATGTTATGTAATATTAAGTTAGGTGATCTATTGTAGTTATCTTAAGTGATAATTGTAGGATAGTGTTAGGGATAAGTGAAAGTTATATAAAATAATTGAAGGTGTTTAAATTTTATATTATTTTAAATGAAGAGATAAATTTAATAGAGAATGTGAAGGTGATCTTTTGAACATTGACATTTTGGGTGTTGGCGAATTGATAGTTGACATTCTGTGAGCTGGCATTTTGTCCTTGTGGCATTTTGTCGTTTTGAGATTTCGAAATCTTCGTCGTTTTGAGATTTCGAAATCTTCCCGTTACATTCTGACTTCCGCCCTTTTTTTCAAATCATTTTAATATTTTTGTAAAATTTTGTAAAAATTTATCTCTCCCTATTTTTTATTTTTTAATTAATTTATTTTTATTATTTTTAAAACTACCGTACCCCGGACCCCTGCCCCCAACTTTTTTCAGTCCCAGACTGAAAATCCCTGACTCGAAAATTTCAGTCCCAGACTGAAATTCCCAGCCCAAAATATTTCAGTCCCAGACTGAAATTCCATTCTACTACGAGAAGAATAATTTTTCCCGCAAATGACCTTGAGAGGGAAATCTTCCTCCTCCACCTCCGCGGGCTGCGCCGAGATTTCAGTCCCAGACTCATTAATCATCGATCAATTAGATAAGATCTTGAGAATTTGAAATAATTGGTTACCTCCCCCTTACATTTTGACTTCCACCCTTTTTTGCAAATCATTTTAATTTTTTTGTAAAATTTTGTAAATTTTATCTCTCCCTATTTTTTATTTAATTTATTTAATTTATTTTTTATTTAATTTATTTTTATTAATTTTACCGTATCCCGGACCCCGGCCCCCAAAATATTTCAGTCCCAGACTGGAACCTTGTACCTGCATCTTGTACTTGTACAAGGTACAAGTACCTTGTACAAGTACAAGGTACAAGTACCTTGTACTTGTAATCAATCAAATTAATCTGTCACCCATCAATCAAAATTTGGCAATCCGGGAACCTGGAAGTACCCCACACCCTTTGGTTTCCCTTGATCACGCCGCCAAACTCGGACAAATGGGACTCGGACAAATGGGACTCGGACAAATGGGATTTACTTGTACCTGTCAATCAATCACTTGTACCTGTCAATCAATCAAAATGACAACTCGGACAAGTGGGATGATTAATTACCCCAAACCCCCTGGTTTCCCTTTGATCATGCCGACAAACTCGGACAAATGGGATGAGTAATTGCCCCACACCCTTTGGTTTCCCTTGATCTTGCCGACTATAATTCGAATACTCCCCCAAATTTGTTAATTATCCAAATAATGCTCGAATTTAATAAATCCACTGAATTCTTACAAATCGTCAGATAAAATATAAATCTTCCACTCAATAATTATACATAGATTTCTGTTAATTCTAAATTCCCTCGAAAACTCTGTTTACCCCCAATTCATTCATAAAAAAATCCCTTAATATCCTTCCATGGGACTCAACTTTGGGCGTTAAACTTTGAAAATAAAATTTTCGGGTTCGGCTCCGGATATCCGAAATTTTCGTTTCGGATATCGTATAGCATAAATTTTCGGTGCGGATACCGGATTCGAATATCCGGTGATTTCCATCTATCCTACAGCCTTACTATAGATCCCCCTTTATTCTTTGCTTTTTTATAGACCTCAGACTACATATATATCCTTTATCTGTAGTAACAAATTTTAATTTGTTACTATTTAATTTTTTTAAATTTTTTACAATTATAATTTGTTACTTAATTAAAAATTTTAATTTTATCGGACGATCGCTAGTTATAATAAGACATTTATTATCAGTAGGAATATTATTATCAGTAGACATTTATTATCAGTATTCTGTTGAATATTCAAATCGAGGGTAAAATGGTTGAGGTTGGATTAAAAATAAAAGAAGATTGGGGAAAAAAAAGAGAATTTATTTATTTAAAAAATATTCAAATAAAGGAACGTTTTGTATTGATAATGAATGTAAATACGGGAAATAAAATTGAAAATTATTTCAATAAAAAAACTGAATCGTTTTGTAAGCTTGAAGTAAATCCTGTCAATAAAGTTTTTATTGTTAAACTATATCAGGGGCCTAAATTTATCTCTCAATTACAATTGAGAATTTTGATTGAAATTGCCAATTATGAAATTGTTACGAAATTTTTTAAAAACTTAGGAAAACAGGTATTTTATATTTGATTATTCGAAATTTAAGCATTCAATAATAAATATAATATTCTAAGATTCGCCTAAATAATAATTTTATCAAAAATAATAAAAATTATGAAACTTCAATATTAGAAGAAAGTTTAGAAAATACAAAAATAGATAAAAAAGAATTATTAAAAAACATTAATGAAAATTACAAAAACAAACTTTTGCCAAGTTATTGGACAGAAATTAATTTAATTGGATATAAAATTGAATTGTTAGGTAAACAAAAAGTTGAATATCCAAAAGAAAATGGCGGAATTAAATTCATTGGCAATAAAATAAGTAAGCAAATTTTTGACTTTGTCTATATTTAATTTGCCTAAAAAATTTTTCTTGAAAATTATAGGTGAAATAATTGAAGTAAATAAACGAAATTGTTTCAATTGTAGAGTTACACAAACAAAACAATGGTATAGTATACTAAAAGAACATTACTTGTGCGAACAATGTGGTGCATATAAACGCAGATATGGAAAGTTAAGATCAAAAGAATTATGGTTTAAGACTAAAAAGGTTATCGTTATTAAAATTTAGTACGATTTTTAAAAATTCTTATTCTGAAACTTTTTAAATGAACTTTTGGTCAATTCTGAACTTATTGAAAGGTTTTTGTCCAAACGTTGAGGACCGATATAGATATAGGCGAAATGTTCTTTAAGTAATTAAAATTAATATGCTTTATTTTCAACCGTTATATAACTTCTCATGAAGTAATTTAAGGACGAGATAAATTGTTTATTACGGAGTTATTCAAACAATAACTTTAACAGCTCGTGCTTATAAAACACCGTTTTGACTAATCTAAACGAATTAAAAGTTTTTTTACACAAACAATACCCATGAAATTAAGTTTCATTAAATTAACCATTAAAATTAACATTGAATGAAACTTCAAATAAAAACAAACTTCTCATTAAGTAATTTAAGGAAAATCGTAAATGTTTTATTTGCGGTGTTACACAAACAAAAAGGTGGCGCCGTCATTCAGAAACAGGG